CAAGTCTCATATGTATCTATATTACGATAGTGAATGAACAACCCTATTTATAGAGTGAGAAATCACTCCAAAGGTCACCATATTAAGTATCATAATAAATAGATACATTCTTATCCAAAAAGGTTCATGTAACCTAGTGAGTATGAATGGTTGTTCATGTACCAACCTTATGGACTATCCACTCATTCAATGAATTTATAACAAAAATATAGAGGTTCAAAACTGTCGATAATTTTATTTTAAATTGTATGGGTTAAATAAATCTCCACAATTTGACGTAATTTACGGAGGTGAATCTGTCCCCACTATTAAATCGCTGCAAATAATAAGTTCTTTTGTAGTGATTTTTTCACTTTTTATCATGCATTAAATAATAAATAGATTTCATCATAAGTTATACATGTATTAATCGTGCAAATTTTTAAATGGTCAATCAAATATTATATTAATTTTATACATATATAACTTATTTTTATGATTCTATCCACCTATTAAACATGTATAAATTGTACAAAAATTAACAAGTTACTTGTTTCTCATCCAGCTTCCAATCACTTATATACATGTAATTATTTTCATTATTTGTGTCTATGTAAACATAATTTGACATGAGATTGAAGTCTCAGTCTAATAGTTACAAGTAACAACTTTAACTTGCATGTAAATGCCAAGTCTAAAAACAATATGCGTACGAATATATGTTTTTCAGGTCATTAGAAACTTTTTATGTGCTATCGAACAATAATTTGGTGAATATAAAATGGAGGTTATTTGAGTTAATAAGCTTTGATTATTTTTTTATTGTTGCATCTTTGTGGTTTATACTAGGTCTTACTCCAACTAAATAACTTATGAAACAATGCAGATAAGAAATTAATTGTGTCAACTTTGTACTATACAAGTTACATGAAAATTAATTGAGAAGTCATCCCTATATTTAATTACTTTATGGAGAATCGAAAAGAAATCAAATTTGTTTCTGAACTATACAACTAAAAGAAATTTGTCATTTGTTACTATGAAGGTCAAATATGTCCTTGTCGTTATTAAAATGGGCTAAATTTGCCCTCGTTACCCCTCCTATTCTATTTTACAAGCACGTAGTAATAAACAAAGATCTCAAAGGTTTATTTTTTAATGAAAAAACACCACACTTGGCTTAAAGTTGCTTGATCTTGCATTTGATGTTTGTGAACAAAACGACCAGATATGTTCAAATTTGACCTCAATTGGCAAGTTAACACTTTAACTTTGAGTATGCACATCTAGACACTTCGACTCATCTTTAGTGTCCAGCTTTGTAAGTGATCATCTAGACACCTCCAAAATTTACATGTCACATCAACATCGAGTGTCCACGAAAAATAGAGGGATTGTTAGTTGAGACCAAATTGAGTTCAATAGATGTGTTTACTTGATAGTTGAGATCAAGTTTGAGTGTGCCTATTTATATCTTATGTCGATATTCTCTATATAATATTTGTATATAATCTAGACAAACCAGATTATTATATATTGTGATTTGTGATGGATGGGCCTTTAGTTGATGGATTACTAATAATAATTGGACCTAATGTGAACCGAAAGCCCAAACTTGAAATACGAAAGCCTTCTTCTCCGAATCCTCTTCCCCTTTCTCTGTAAACAATCAATGGAGTCCAAACCCTCGAGCGGATTCGGACCCTCCAGTAGTCCTCTACTGTCTCTCTCCACCTTCGTCCACCAGCACTGCTCCCGACTCGGTGCTGAACTCGCTAACCGATTCGACGAAGCGAAACGGCTGAGTTCTAAAATCGCCGCCGATTTTATGCAGCAGCCGCTGCCAGCGGCGATAGGGAGGAGTTGTTCGTTGCCGTTGCATTCTTATCATCTATCTCTTCCGTTCGCTTCGGTGTCGCAGCGTCAAGAGAAGGTCGCTAAAAATACCGGTTTGAGCTCGGATTATGTTGCTAAGACATTAACTGGAACTTCTGTATACACAGTTAGCAATTCTAACAATGAATTCGTGCTCATTTCGGACCCGAATAGTGCGAAGTCAATCGGATTATTGTGCTTCCGTCAAGAGGACGCCGAGGCATTTCTTGCTCAGGTGAACTTCATCTTTTAAAATGAATTTATCGAATTTTTTCTCTATAGAAGAGAGTGAAAGGAGAGATGAACTCCTTTATCAAAGTAGGGTAGCAGGAAGGGGACCCAAAAGAGAAAACTAAGTTAAAGATGATTGCTTTAAAAGAAATTATTGGGTAACTATCATTGGAACATTATGTATTGAACCTGAATATAGTGGAATTGATACATAAGATAGCAGATACAGAAGACAGATAATGTGGACCTTTTTAGTTTGCAAATGAGGCGTTGTTATAGAAGTTTTGATATACATGGAAGGCTTGTTTGTGGAGAAATGAACATGTGAAGGTTTTTCAGGTACGGTTGCGGAAGAAGGAAGTGAGAGGTGGAGCTAAGGTAGTTCCGTTGACACTTGATCAGGTGAATTTTTTGTTTCCTTTTGCTAGGAATTTTTCTTTCAAGGATTTATCTGCTTTGGTGATTATTTTCTTCTTTCTTTTTACAAGTTTGTACATGCATTAGAAAAGAATTGCAAACTTTAGGAGTGACATTAGATTACTCTATGGAGAAGGCCATATTCTTGTTTTAAGGATTGAACTTCAGCGAAATTTTAGTACCATGAGAGTGTCTGGTAATAGATATGGTATTAATGATGGACAGTTTTGTCTCTAGTGCTTATCAAGATTGGTTGGTGGAAAGTCAGAAGCTACTGATGATCTACTTGTATGTATATGTTCAATCTAATTCTTTGCATATATTGAGAACTTCTTCTTGCAAGAATGGGTATAAACTTTGATGGTTATTGAATCGTCCATTATTAGTTAAAGAAGTGTTGGATTCAAATACAGCAGAATGGAGATACCGATCCTAACTTGTTTAGATTGACACATAGTTAATTGATTGAATCAAAACAGAGCATGCATGGTATTTAGCATAAGCAATGGAGTCTTTTTAAACGCACCCCTTGAGATAAGGCTCGATTAGATTACCTGACCATCTCAGGTTAAGATTAATTTACTGAGCCATATTCCTTTACCATTCCTTTTAGTGATTTCTTCTCTTTTACATCTTTAAGATAAGTTGTATGCATTATTGATACATTTTGTATCTCTTGTTCATCCATAAAAAAGGGGATCCTATCGTGCTCCTTTTGAGCCTCACACGTCTGATCTGTCCCGTTTAATATATCTTCTTCTGCTATTAAATTAAAAAGAAAAAATTGAAGCTTAACTTAAGAATGAAAGACATTTTTGTCTCTATTTAACAGGTCCAGTGTACATTAAGTAATCTACTGCAACTAGTTGCAGTTGTCTGTATGTGCAAGAATTTCTGTTTTTTGCTTTTCCATTTCTTCCTAAAGGTGTTGCCAGGCACTTGTCCCGAATTTTGAATAGTTACACGTCTTTCTTTTTGGTATCACTTTGCAGGTTTACATGTTGAAGGTTGAAGGAATCGCATTTCGTTTTTTGCCAGATCCCGTTCAAATTAAGAATGCAATGGAGGTAGTTATCCATGTTGGTCATCCTTAAGTTTTGGGTCTGGGATCCTTGTAATTTCCACTGAATGTAGTAGAATTGCACAAGGACGCCTGTTCAGTTGTGCAAGTGAAAGTTATACTGTATATGTATATTCATCTACCTGTGATAGTTTTACGTGAAAGTACACTGGCATGTAGTTTTAATTAATGACCAGATTCCAGAAGCGGTAGAATTGCTTGCAACCCATCAATTTTTGAGGTCCACTGACATACCCTTGTTTTTTCTTCTCTTTACTGTTAATTCAAATATTTCAAAAATGGAAGTCTTTTCGAGATTTGAACTTGGGTTACTGACATGCCTGGTATGCAGGCTCTTGCTCACTAGTCTAGTAAATGAAGCATAGATTACTAATGGCTTGACCTCCATTGCCACCCAACTTCTGTCTCCTCCTCCTGGAAATATCTCTTTGGCTAAACATAATATTTCAATGCATGCGTCATCTCAACATTGTCTTTTCCTGTGACAGTTAAAAGCTTCTGATGTAAAGACTGGATTTGATGGAGTCCCTGTTTTCCAGGTAGCATATAAACTTTTTTGCCAACTATATGCAAAAACTCTAGCATTACATACTCAGCCTGTGTACTTTTTGAATTATGAGCCTTCACTCACTGGAAAGCTTTTGCTAAATATTTTGTATATCAAAGAGTGGACTGCTGAATATGAACTCCGCTTAATTCTGTAGCTTTTTGTTCTTGTGCAGTCAGATCTCCTAGTTGTGAAAAAGAGAAACAGACGATACTGTCCAATATACTTTCGAAAGGTATGTTGGTTTTTAATATCTCGAACTGGAACTAGTCAGAAGAAACAAAAAAATAGATATAGTTATTTATTCGTGATGGTTTTTATTGAATTCCTTTTCGGGTGTGCAGGAGGATATAGAAAAGGAGTTATCATCAAGGGCATTGAGAGGATCTAGTGTCTCTCAGCACATCATGGTATCATAATCACTTTTATCTTTCTGTTTTCTTTCTGATAGGGCGTGCAAATAGATTTAGAATGGTCAAACATGCTAAGAGGTGAATATATGATGTCTCTGAGAACTTTATTTTAGTAAGTGTTTTGGAGTAAATTTCATTCGCATTGATCTCTCTTTTATCAAGTGTAACATTGTCTGAATGCGGAGAGGATTTAAAAAATTGAATTTACGTGCTACAGGTTTCACTTGGAGAGCCTAACATTGTAAATTTTTGCATGTAATGGAGAGGATTAATGGTTGAAAGTTTTTACTTGAAAAATATAGCCAAGTTTGCTTAGTCAATTATCATGTTAATGTAAAATCTCTTACTTCAATTACAAGAAGGAAACAGAGTTAAGAACCCTGAAAGAGGTTTGATGTATGTTAAGGACATTAATGCTTTGCTGTTTAAAATCTTTTGTATGTAAAAAATCACCTTGCCAATCCTCTTACAGTCAGTATCTTTTTTGTAAGTTATCAAAAGAATAGTGTTTCTTCTCCGTTCCAAAGATTCCTGTCGGACTATCATAAGGGCTTGCTTGTCCATGAAAATACAAGGTTTACTGGCTTTTCTGTATCCGTCAAGATTTTCTGTCATCTGACCCGTCATTGTAACAAGAGACTATATCGGCTAACGTTAACTTGCTAGTATTCTTTTTCTTTATTTACAGGTAGGGACTTTGGAAGATGTCCTGAAAAAAATGGAGGTAGGTGCTTCCTGCTTGGAAATTTTAGAAGTTGAATTATACTTTGAATTCTTCGTTTCATGCATCAATAAATCAGTTATCGCACGACATGTTGTTAAGATGAATCAATTACATCTTGGTCCGGAACATGTTGAGGGACCATGAGTACTCATTTCAGAGGAAGTAACATAATGAGTAAACCATAAACCAAGGAAATAATACCTATCTACGAGCTTTTACCCACTACCCTTTTTTGCCGAAGGGATGAGGAAAAATACTAAAAACTTGCACCAGCAGATCATTCTGTCAAAAGATGTTTGCCCATCTTTAAATGGTTCCTTGCTGGAAAATTGAAAGGAAGAAGTGAAAAATTAAAACGCGCAAGTACAGAAATGAGAAATTAAAAGGGTGTAGCTTATTGCGAAATTTGAATTTCAAACAGCATAAAAGAAATGTTTTCTGAGATAACATCTTAAAGCTTTTCTATTCTATCCTTTGTTTAAGCAGAGAAATCTCTCGGTTACTTCTCTAAACTTCTCTGTGTTTCCGGTGGCAGATAAGTCAGAGAAATTCTGGCTGGGAGGACCTTATCTTTATTCCCCCTGGTAAAAGTCATTCACAGCACATTCAAGATGTTACTAAAGCATAAATTTCTTGCAAGCAGCTCCTGTTTGAAACAAATCAATATAGAGGCAGGTTCACATTCTCATCTGCACTTGGTCGACCCGAATAATCCAAATAGTTAAGCTCCGTATGCTTTCTACCTCTGACTTGTTTTATCAGTAGTTTCTAGAAGCTTTTACTAATTTCGTCATATGTTCAGATACTGCTGGATTAGCTTTAAGAAGATACATAAATGATCAAGTTCTTGCTTGAATATTTAATGGAGGGAACAACTAACATGTTGTACATTAAAAGACAATGAGTTGGTAAACTAGAGGCACAATTTACTTTGTATCTGTCATCTGTACATTGCACAAGTTGAATTGTTGAACTATGTTTTGACTCTTTATATTGATGAGGTAAATTATCCCAGGATGATCTCTCATTTTATTTGAGAATGAATGAAACGATAACAAGTTATGATACCCTCAGTTTGCGACGAAAATTAGTAAAGTTGTGTGGTGCTCTTCTGGTACATTATTAACTACATGTTCTTAAATTGTGGTGTGTTGCTTTGTGTCATCCAGTGTTACTGGTCTTGACTTGTGAGTCATGCTCCAGTTGACGATATCGCTGAGCACGCTGATTCGTAACTTGCACCAACTAACTGCTGAAGCTGTTGGTATAAAATAATTAGAAACATAATAAAGGTCTCTTCTGGATATGTAGTGATAATGTAATGAACAATTCAATGAAGCCTGCTTTTTTTATACTAAAAGCTTACCTAGACACTATTATCTACCTAAAAAGGACAAATTTTGACTCATCTGCAACAATGTACCTTCCATTAACATAGTTTAATATGTTGTTAACAAAGTTGTTTTGATCATTTCCTCTCACTAATAAAAAAAAGATGGCAGATTACAAGGCTGCCTTGTTATGCTGTTCATCTCAAATTACTTGTCCTGTTTTGTTCTTACTCTCATTTTTTTATTAGATATGATCTTTCTTCAATAAATATTCAGTAATGAAGTGTTTCTATACTCATTTTTGTTATAAGATATGATCTTTCTTCAATAAATATACTGTGTCGAAGTGTTTGTAGTTTTCAAGAACAATTACTATTGAAGACAGAATGAAAACAAATTATTAGTTTTGTTTTTAACTTATAAAATGATAAATAATTTGAGACAATTATGTTTAGAAATCACGATGGCGAGAGTAATATTCATGTAAATCATTGAAAGGGTTGACATTGAGTGTACAACAATGATTTTCTACCCTAATATCAACATGGGAATCTATTGTTTTGGTAAAGAGTGGTTATCTCACCTAAAGCCTATTAAAATGATCATTTGTTAAAGATAATCATTGCTGGTTTATTTATTTATTATAATACATTATATTAGTTCTAAAAATGTGTAGAAAATCAAGTATTGGTGCGACCTTGCAATTTTGTAACAGCTAAAAGTGACATTTGTTTGTTCATAAGACACTGACAGCACAACTATACAAGTTGTTGCCCTTAAGCTATTAGCTGCCCTTCCAAATATTTCAAAATTTTTGTGAATTTAAACATTTTTCTTAATTATTTTGTCTTCACAATTTTATTTTAGTAATTCTTACTCCAAATGGCAAGCACTCTGCTAAGTTGAAAAAGAAATTAACTCATGTCCTCTGATAATTAGAGGTGGATCATGAATTTTAAATTTTATGAGCTTGACTTTATATTTATCTATCGATCTGCTATTTGTTATAATTTTACAAAATTTTATTCATAAATTTATGCTTCGCTTTGAAAGTATTAGATTTATATGAACCTGGTACAACAAGGGTGAAAAATTCAGCCTCTATTGATAATATTACGAAAGAATTAAAACAAAACCATCGTATGCAGAGATTGATCCATAATTTAAGTTTTATGAATTCAACTTTTAAAGTTCTAAGCATTGCGCTTATTATATTATTAAAATTATGAATCCATATTTTACTATTATTGATATTCAAAAAGAACTTTTATATAAAAGAATCATTTTCACATCAAAAATATTAAATTCATAATAAGTATACAACCGCCTATATGTGTAATTTAATTATTTATAAAAATAATAATATACTTATATCTTATTTTTACGTCAATAAACTCACTTTTATGAGTGATCTAGTGTGATAATAACATATATTATCAATAAACAAAAGTTAAACTCAACAGCAAAAAAAGCCCATTTGCCCTTCCCTTTGAAGAAAAACAAATTCACTCAACAGCCATTATCAACTTTGTATCTTAACAATAAAGGATGAGTATTTTAGGAAATAAAATAATATAATATTAATTTTTTTTCAAAAATAAATAATAACAACACATATTAACATATGGCAAACAATTTAAATCTCCTTCCCTTGTATATATTGATGTCCAAGCTAAGAAAATGAAATGTTAAAAAGACAAGTAAACAACACTTGGAGCTTTCTTAGTAGTTCTAATTACTTATTCTTTAATCTTTTCATAATTAGGCCTCCTCTCTGTCTCTCTAACAACTATTGCCAAATCCCTCTTAAATATATGTTAATCACTCAATTTTAAATTAATCAACTATCTTACTTGCTCACTAAAACTATTATTATTTTTATTAAGGTTGGAGAGAGTGAAAATTTCACATTTTATTATATAGTACAAAGAAAAACTAAGCACTCTCCTTTGTATACACAACATACCAAAAAAAGAAAAATGATTATGAAGTCCCTTCCTTCTAAAGCATTGATCATAAAAATCAACTTAGTTTTTTTGGCTTGTTTCTTGATTGGTTATGCTGCTATTCTTCTAAAGCCATCAACTTATGTTTATCATGAATATGCAACATCTCTTGTTAGATGTTCATTGAGAGAATGTCATCATAAGGTAAGGTGAGCTTTAATTTTTTGTTTTTTCTTAATTTGTATAGGTGGAAATGTCTAATAATTTTACGCTTCGTTATACTTTGGACCGATTCATATTCTTGGTATTAGCAAATCGTCTTATATTTGCTCGACTTTTTTAATGAATAAAGTATGACTAAGAGCAAATATGAAACGATTTGTTGATGTCGAAGATACGAATGAACTCAAAGCATAACAAAAAGTGAAATTAGGATATTTTAAAGAATAAGGTGAGTTTTTTTTTTGTAGTACTAAAAAGGTTCAATTTACTTTTTACTATTCGAAATATCTTAACTTAACCCTTCATATTACTTTAGGGTTATTCATGCATTTTGTCATTAGCAAATCGTCTTGCATTTACAAGTACGACACAATTTGCTAACAACGGCTATGAATAACCTTTAAATATAACGAAGGATAAAATTAATATATTTCGTAAATGTAGACCATTGTCCATTCTTTTTATTCAAATTCAATAAATTTATAACTCAAAGATATATTCATCTGTTTGAATTTTTTTTTAAAAAAAACATAAACTATTTTTTTTTCTTGTTTTGAATAGGGAGAAGGAGGGATAAAGATGAAAGCAGTATTAGAAGAAAAAATAGTTATGAATGAAGAGAAAAGGATGGTATTAAAGCGCGAAAAGCCGAGTTTTTTAAATAAAATGGGGAGAGGAATGAAGATAGGAATGGTAAATATGGAAGGTGAAGATGTTAGTGAATGGAAAATCTATGGCCAAATAACAAACATAAAATTCGAGAAAGTCTCGAATTTATTTGAATGGAAAGATATTTTTCCAGAATGGATAGATGAAGAAGAAGAAATGGATGGACCAATGTGTCCTGAAATACCAATGCCAAATTTTAACAACTATAGAGATAATATGGATATGTTAGTTGTTAAATTACCATGTAAGTATCCACAAGAAGGATGGGGAAGAGATGTTTATAGGTTACAAGTGAATCTTGTGGCTGCAAATTTGGCTGTGAAAAGAGGAAATGGAAAGAAAATGAAATTGATTTTTTTGAGCAAGTGTAGACCTATGGTTGAAATGTTTAGATGTGAGGAGTTAAAGAAAAAAGAAGGTGATTGGTGGTATTATGAGTCAAATATGGATAAATTGGCTCAAAAAGTTTCACTGCCTATTGGTTCTTGTATGTTGGCTTTGCCTCTATGGGGAAAAGGTATGTTTACACTTTCAAACTTTTACTAATTGCTGATCGAACTGCTATAACATGTTAAATCACAATTGTGATCATCATTAAGAAGTATTGGAATGTGTTAATTTCGAACATTGTTCACAATGATCGGAATGTGTTAATTCCTAGCATGTTGGATTACATTGATCGTAAAGAAAAGATCATAGTAGATTGGTGTGTGAGATATACCGGAATGTATTAATTTCAAGAAAATGAAGATCACAACAATCATGCTTAAGTTATATCGGAATGGAATGTCTTAATTCCTAACATGTTAAATTACGTTGATCATTAAAAAAAATGACACAATTAGTATGCGAGACGTATCGAAATAATTTTAAAAAATAATACGCGCCAGGTAGGGGTCGAACCTACGACTTTCTGCTTAGGAAACAGACGCTCTATCCACTGAGCTACAGGCGCTGCTACAATAAAAATTAGTAACAAATATTTATATCTTTTTTGAATAATAAAAATATTTTTTTTGAATTTTTTTCTCCTCAACTAATTATAATAATTTTCTCAAACGTTTTGGTTATCTCATAGTTGTAATAATATTCTCAAATATTCTTGGTTAATATTGTCTGGCAACTAACTTGAGACTTTTGAGTTATATATACCTATTAGTGTTACCATTTTTTTTATAATCAAATCATTTTTTCTTTGTTACAGAAATAATTTATTCTATTTTCATGATTACAAATTGCATATTTAAACTTTTTTAGTCTATAAATATTTTTCAAGTGACATGATAGCGTTAAATATTCTTTTATATTAACGGTGTGTATAACATTTATTGGTGAGAAGTTTGATTTTAAGTGGTTGGTGCCAAAAGGAGGTTGAAATATTCAAATAGTCAGTAAAATGTTTGGTAGATTTTGAGAAATTAAATGTCTACTTGCATGTAAACAAAATATATTGGCTAAGGCGTGTCATGAAAATTCATACTAATACACAAAAATGATACAAATATTATATTTTTCTCTTCATAATAAGATAAGTCATGAATGTTCAACTAATCAGAAAACCTAATAATACAAATTAATTGAACACAAATATTTATTAGTCCACATGCTAAGACCTTTCTATTAATTATTAATTACTTCACTAACCTCCAATATTTTATGTTCATCGTTATCAATGATAAAAATATATGATTCAGATCAAATTTACTGAATTCTATTGAATTAATATTATAAACATATTTTGATTACAGAAATCAATGAAGTGTATGATATATCGAAAATAGAAAGAAGCACAAAGGTACCAACGCGAGAAGCTTATGCGACGGTTCTTCATTCATCAGAAACATATGTTTGTGGTGCAATAACATTAGCTCAGAGTCTTCTTCGAACTGGAACCAAACGGGACCTAATTCTTCTGCTGGATAACAGTATTTCTGAATCTAAACGCGACGCGCTTATAAAAGCAGGGTGGAAGCTCCGGTTCATAAAGAGGATAAGAAACCCTAGAGCTGAGAAAAATACGTATAACGAGTATAATTACAGCAAGTTCAGGTTGTGGCAGCTTACGGATTATGATAAAATCATTTTCATTGATGCTGATATCATCGTTCTTCGTAACATTGACCTCCTTTTCCATTTTCCTCAGATGACCGCTACAGGTAATATCAGTTGTTTCAATTTATACGTCTTACTTTCTTTGTTTTACTATGGTTGAGCCCGAGATAGGGAGGGGGCGAGAGGAGACAATCAACTTATAGAATTTGTTATCTCTATTTCCACTATCAAAGTCATTTTAAAAAAAAAAAATCAAAATTTGACCTACTAAATATAGAAAAATTGAAACATATATTTTCTCCATATATATATACAAAATACACACGTTTAATGATTTAAACACTCTTTATATAAATATTATGGCATGGTATAAAATCACAAGTTTTTAGACCATATATACGATTCTTAAAATTCGTGTACAATCGAATTAGGACACTAAAAATGAAAAATAGAGTTTGAATATTTAAATTTTGAATCTGTCATCTGCAGGTAACGATGCATCAATCTTCAATTCCGGAATAATGGTGATCGAGCCATCAAATTGCACCTTCAAAATGTTCATGAAACGTACAAAAGAGATCATTTCATATAATGGAGGTGACCAAGGTTTCCTTAATGAGGTATTTGTATGGTGGCATAGGTTGCCTAGAAGAGTTAATTTCTTAAAGAATTTTTGGTCAAATAATTCGAATGAGGTCAGCGTTAAGAATCAACTATTCGCGGCAGATCCTCCAAAAGTATACTCGATACATTATCTCGGGTTAAAGCCTTGGGTATGTTACAGGGACTACGATTGTAATTGGGATATAGGTGATCAACGTGTTTATGCTAGCGATATCGCGCATGAGACATGGTGGAAATTACATGACTCAATGGATGAGAGTTTACAAAAATTTTGTGGATTGACAGAGCAAAGGAAAATTGAATTAGAATGGGATAGAAAATTGGCTGGAAAAATTGGATTTGAAGATGAACATTGGAGGATGAATGTTACTGATCCTAGAAAATTTTCTTGAATTTTTTTAAATTTTTTTTATCATCAATGTTTTTTTTTTATCATTTAATATGTATGCTACTATATATAGTAGTACTTTTGCACAGAGTACTTATGAACATGGCCTTCATGCACTATTTATTCATGTGTATATAGAGGATGCTTGTTCATTTTTGGAACATGAAAATTGTTTAGCTATTCTACCTCTCTTTTTTTTAAATTATCGTTATTCTAAGAACATTTTATCATATGTTTATTTGTTCAATATTCTGAAACAAGTCATATTTCGAATATCTAAATGATAATTATATTATGAACAAGTTTAAGAGGATGCCAAGTTTTATGCCTAATATATAATACTAACCTTTAAACCTTTAAAGACTGATCACATCATTTTTAGTAATTTTCTATTATAATATATATTATAATATATGATAAGAGCTAACAAATTTATTATCTTCGGACGCAAGAATTAAAAAATGGCGATTCATAAAGGGTTGAGCATATACGTTTCACTCGAAAACAAGAAATGAAGCTATTAAGTTAAGGTGTCGCTTTAATTCCCTTCAATATTTTAAAAATATTTCAAATTCATTTAACTCTTCAATTTGTCTATTTAATGTATGATTTTTAAATATTAAATTTTTTATTCAATTAAATGTCGTCATATAAAATAAATTTATAGTATTTGAAATAATTAAGTTCGTAGGACTATTAAAATGTTATAAGGAAGACTACAAATTAAATTAAGCCTAATTAGTCAACTATAGTACTTAACGATTACAAAAAAACAAATCAAATAATTATTTAAATTATGTAAGATAGATAGTGTTGTTGTTTTTTTTTACTTTAAAGAAAAACATGAATAATTGGTAGACCATGAATTGTTGTATTAATTTAATGATCACTAGTATAACCAACGCAGTGATTGGTATACTTCAAAGTCCAACAAACAAATTTATAGTTGTTTTTTATATACGGATAAATTTTTATACGACAGTCTTTTTTATAATAATATTATACTCTTTATAATAAATTTTGCGATAGCATTTTAAGAAAATATTTACATAAATAATATTGTTAATACAAAGATTTAATTATATATTTATTTTTAATGTGTGGAAGAATTGTTGAGTGGAAGAAAAGGTAAAATTGGTAAATGATTAATTGTGGTGAAGGCCAAGAATTAGCATGTGATAATGATAGATCAGTTGAAAAAAAACAAAAAAGAGTATTAGTTGAGCAAACTAATTTTTAGGTGTACCTAACAGCTGCAAAAAAAAATTGTTTTGATACATATTATAATTGAGGTAATTAACACAATATATTTTTATTTTTTATGAGCAAATATTAACAAAAACTTTATAAGAAATTCATAAAAAGAGAACCTTTTGCATGTTCAATATTTTGGGTATAATTTTTTAATGTTGAATCCATAAACATTATAAACATTCTTGAAAATTTTATTTGTCACTACTTTTACCCACTTAATAGTAGGCTCATATAACCGACCTCCATTTAATGACAAAATCGAATTTTAAAGGTTGATTTTTGAATTAAAATTATTATTTTTTATTTTCGATAGAAGAATAGAATATATATGACTATGTGAATTATTTGTATAACAAAATGGATATATATGAATTACTTTTATAAAGAGGGATATATCGACACAATATGACAAAGTTATGACATATATCAGATCCTTTGTAATTATATTTTAACAAATCAACTTTAGATATTAATTTATTTTTTCTAAAAAAAAAAAGAAATGATAGCAAAAAACAATCTTGGGAGATTTTTTATTCGAAAATGATTCAAAAACATGTGTTTTTAAATGATCTGATAAAATAATAAATTGCCTCTTTTTTTTAATTATTAAAAAAGATTTCAACTTCTTTTTTTAAAAGAATTATTTTTTATATAGTTTGACCAAATATAAGCCAATTCCGAAATCAAAATTTTAACAAGTGCAATGGGCCAAAAGAACCCACTTGACCCAACTACGTCCTAATGTAGCCCGATAATTAAATGGGCCAACGAGATTATGAGTACTCATAAATTTTGATTTTATTAGTTTCATTTTAGGATTAATTACTTAAGTTGATTCTTTTTAAAAAATAATTATTTATTTTAAATATACTCTTTAATTATTATCATTTATAACAATATATAGCTTACATTATTGTATAATTTGGGAAATTTTTGTCAATATAAACTTATTAGGCATAAATGGTAATTTTGTTTTAAAAGTATGTGATTTATGTCCTTTGTCCATAAGTTCTCTTATTACTCTATCCCCTATTAATTTTATAAATTCCTCATTTTCACGCATCAAATTAATGTATCAGCGCATCAAATTAATATATCTCGCGTATCAGATTAATATATCTCGTGTATCACTTATAAGGAATAAATGATAATTTTATCTTAAAAGTATGTGATTTCTGTTCTTTGCTATAATTTTTATTCAGACATAAGAACATAACAAGGTTGAATATCAATATTCAGTAAATATTATTTAAATACTTGAACTATAATTTATTCTAATAGAATATTCAATATAATATTTCTTATTATATAATTTATGATGTAATACAAATACTCAATCAGAATAAATTATTATTTGAATATCTTGATAAAATTTACCTGAGGCGATATATTCTTAGTTTAAATAATATTGGTGCACGCTGTACAACATGGATCACAGCTTCAATGTCGGATCTGTCATAGGCTTACGAGCTCAGCACGTGACATTTATAATTAAAAAAATAGTATTCACTCCGTTCATTTTTATTTGTTATGTTGTGTTTTTCGAATTAATTTTTAAAATTAAATTAGATTATATAAATTTGATATTTTAAATAAAATATTTAAATAGTCAAAAATTATATTACAAGTACTATAAATTATAATTTTTAAATATCAATATAATAAAAAATATATTATAAAATATACTCTAGAAAAAAGAAAAGAATTAAAAGTGAACTCCTTCCTTTGAGCTAGCTTTTGAGGTGTGAGTTAGGCCTAAGACTTAAATTTCACACAATATAATAAAAAATATATTATAAAATATACTCTAGAAAAAAGAAAAGAATTAAAAGTGAACCGAGATAATATAATACCATTTTTTTTAAAAAAAATAATTTAATAATATTTTATAAAATACAACTAATAAAACCACTCAACGTTTACGGCAAACAATAATTAAAGCTCCCTACCCTTATTTGGTGACAGCAAATCCCTATTAAACATAAATTAATCACCTACATTAATTATTCATGTCTCCACTCACTAAAATTATTATTATTTAAATATAAATACATTCTTTACACTTAATCAAAAGAACTTTAATTTCACTAGCTAGCATTTTGGTTTGTGGAAAATTAAAGTTGATTATGAAGTCCTTGCCCTCAAAGGCTTTGATTATTAAAATCAACTTGGTTTTCTTGGTTTGTTTCTTAATTGCTTATGCTGCCCTTCTTCACTGGCAATTATCTTCTCTTTATCATGAATATTCAAAATCTACTACTAGATGCACATCATGTGAATGTCATCACAAGGTAAGTCCGCTCAGATTTACTGTTTATTTTTTCTAATCATATCATGTTATACATGAATTATATCTATATTATACATATGATGATTATTATTAATTTAATCAGTTGGATGACTAGTTATTTAATGATTTTATGATAGTAAAACAAGTAAAGAACCTAGTTTTGATTATTTTTTTTTGTATTGAGTAGGTGGAAGAAGACCCAATTTTTGTGAATGGAACAAATGCAATATTGAAGAAAATGGTGAAACACAAGAAGCCAAGTTTTGTGAAAGAAATAATGGGGAGAGGAATGAAGATAGGAATGGTAAATATGGAAGATGAAGATGTTAGTGAATGGAGAATCCATGGACAAATAATTAAAGTACAATTCAAGAAGGTCTCAGAGTTACTGGAATGGGATGATTTGTTTCCAGGTAAAGTACGTAACAGATCGAGTCAAATTTAAACAGGTCAAATCAATAAACAAACATTCGATAACGGGTCATACTTCAACCTACCCAATATGACCTAACCTCTCTTCCTCTTTCTCTTTTGTTTTTTGGTTAAAAATAAGAAAGCGAAAACTAATTTACTTTCTTAAATTATTCGCTTAATTAATTTTTTTCAAAAATACACGAAATTCTTGATTTTTAATTTTGTTTTTGAACGACGCTGCATCTTGACTTCTTGAATTACACTATTTGACCCAATAATCTAATAGTCTATTTCGATTTCAATCTATTGAGTCGAGTCAAGTCAAAGTCAATGAATTAGTCTCAAACCCCACTCTTTCAAACTTGAACATGTTCGACGAGTTACTAAAAGATGAATTGATTTTACCGCTTTTATTTCCAGGACAGATAGATGAAGAATTAGAAGAGATGGATAGAAGACAAACATGTCCAGAAATACCAATGCCACATTTCTATGGTTATAATAACATGGACATAATAGTAGTGAAATTACCTTGTAATTATCCACAAGAAGGATGGAAAAGGGATGTTTTTAGGTTACAAGTACATCTTGTGGCTGCAAATTTGGCTGTGAATAGAAAAAAGGGTAAGAATGGGAAGATGAAATTGATTTTCTTGAGTAAATGCATGCCAATGATGGAAATATTCAGATGTAATGAATTAAAGAAAAGGGAAGGAGATTGGTGGTATTATGAGCCAAATATGGCTAAATTGGCTCAAAAAGTTTCACTTCCAATTGGTTCTTGCAAGTTGGCTTTGACTCTAAGGGAAAAAGGTATGTTATGTACAGTACTTTCAAGTTATATAAGTTATCTGGTTATCGTGTCGTCCTTATTAAAAATAAATATTTCTTAATATTTGTCATTTTATAAAATTAATACATAAATGATATTTTTTTATTTATTTACCTTTTGAAGTTTATTAGTTTTGAAAGTATATATTTAATCAACATAAAAAAAAACTACGTAGTTTATTTTCATCTTTATAATAACACTAAATAAGGGTACAATGATACACTTAATTTTCTTAAGAGGCCTGAAACTTAAAATGTTGACAACTAAATAGGAACGGAGAGAATATCATGCAAACTTTCATGTCTTCTATCTTCTTATTTTGCTTGTTTGATTCGATTTTATTATGAAATAGCTTCACATAGAACTACAAAATAAAGGAAATCAAAAAA